CACTTCACTCCAGTTCTCCGCCATCCCGATAGCGATGCCCATCCATTTCCAACCCGTTTCCATTGCGGGACCCATCCGCATGCGTTACGCAAATTGAATTCGTTGGCTGAAAATTTATGCAACGTCGCGTCGGCCAAGAGAAAACAACAAGAACAATCGGGGGATATATGTTTGGGGCATATCGGGGACCTCCGGTGACTGCTGGCGTGTGTATTTGGACAATGTACTTGGACGCAGTGCGATATCGACAGAGTTGCAGCGCAGCACGCAGCAGCCACTGCGGCTGCAACTGCATGTAAAACTGGCAAATGGCAACTGGAAGCTTCGGCCGGCGAGCGACTGAGAAATTTATGCTTTGTTTTGCCTTGGCGATACATGGAACATCAATTCTCGTTAACTTTTCATGCACGACTGGGCGATGGAACATGAAATGGATATGGAGATGGACTCTGGATTCGCCATTCGCCATTCTCGATTCCTTGCGGAACCACTCGACCCAGCCGAAAAGAAGTGCGCAAAACAATCAAACAGAGAGTTTCGAATCCGACGCACAAGAGTGGATATTTAAATTAATAGAATCGAATCTGAATTGGCTGAATTGGAATATTAAATTGAAGTAAATACAAATAGATGCAGGTAATACATGCATGCCACAAAATGTAATCGGCTAAAGTGCGTTTAGTTTTTACCTTAGTATCTGAAATCTACTGGCCGGAAATGTTTACTAAACATGTGTGAAAAGAGAACAATGGTGCTGGTGATTTCCCAAAAAGTGCAAAACACGCATCAATTTGCGTTCCATGTTCTGCCGAGCACTTAATTAAACTCATTTCTGGAGCTCACAACAGCTGTGTTCGCCTTAACCACAACACATTCATTCGATTGTGCGAATTTATCAATTGGGCCTCCTGGATTTGGCCAACCTTCCGCCCAATTGAGCTTCAAACACGAGCGACTTGCCGGGCACATAAACCGCAAATTCGTTTTATGAACTCACCCACGTATTTTTATTTCGCCCACTGGGGTGGGTGGCGCTGTTCCGCCCACTGAACCCGCCCAAGTTCAGAGTGCAAAGCGGGCTGACCTTCGTGACAAAGAGCAGGCGACAAGTCACAACAATTGCCTGGGCCATTCAATAAAAATGCAAATGAACTTATCAATTACAACGCCCAAACAACAATAAACTGCACGGCCAGTCGAGGAGTGGCCTACTACTGGCCACGTGCTCCAAGGAGCTCCGGACTGGCCTGGTCCAATCTTGTGGCCACTTCTCCGGCCGGAGTTCCTGTGCTCTCGAAACGGTTTTCTTATGCAAATTGCCAGCGCTAAAATATTCCGGGCTCATAATTTTTATTTCCGTTATTCGAGTTTCAAGATTGTACTACATGCTTGTTGGCGCATCCCCCTCCGCTTTTCCCGCTTTTCCCGCTTTTCCCTCTTTCGAGGGCTTTTCCTGCGCCTTTTGGGAAATTTGCCTTGCTAATATGGCCGAAAAGCAGCGCAGTGTCTGCCAGGTTGTCTGCTGACTGCTCTCTTCCTTTTTCCCGGCCAGTTCCCGGCGCAATCTTCCCCCATCCTCCCACATGGCGAGAAAATGGGGCACGGTGTGGGTGGGTCCGAAGATACCGTGGACATAAATGACATAAGTTACGACTGGCAGATCAGATAACATCTTAATTTAGGGAGTGGGCGAGCGCAAAGTTCAATGTAGCTGGGGGCCACTTTCAAGTTAAGTGATTGTAATGGCCCACACAAGGCAGGGAGTACTGTAAACAGGATCGAAGGGCTCCTTCTCCACGAGAGTGGCCTTTCCAAAGCAGATGGAACACTTTAAACGCCTTGCCAGCAACCACAATTATTTCGGAAACTTCAAACTTGCTATACGTTCTATTAAATAGATTTCAATTGTATCCAAAACGAGCTATCTTTGCAAGCTAAATTATGCTATTATCATCATTCTGCCAGCGCCAAAACCTTTTTAAGTGCAAGCCCAACACCTCAGCGCCATCGGCCCAAGAGGAATGTGGCTGGCCTGGTCGAGATTTGCTCGTCACTGGAGAGCCGCCCACAGAATTTTCACACAGTAGGCCGCACCGCTGGTTTCCCTGTCCCTGTAATTTTCCGGCCAGCTCCAGAATTGAAGCATCACAAAAAATGCAGGCCGGCACGGAACTGGTCAGCAGGCGGAGCCCCAATGATTCTGATGAGTGGTTTGGGTTTGGGTTTTGGCCTGGTCATGCAAGGCGCATTTTCGCACTCACACCGCGATCGGTTGCTTTTCCAGCAAGTCAGACAAATTATGGCCACGATTTGACTTGGGCTCTTCGAGGAAAAGCAGCTCCTACTGCTGGTCAGGCGATAAGCATTTGCGTGATTAATGAAATGTGGGGCCCGTTCCCTCGCAGAAGAGTTGCGAATGGCCTTTCCATAAATAAACAATTAGGCCTCGCCACCCGCAGCCGACTTTCCATTCTGCAATGGAGCGACAATCCCGACTTACTGGCTCGCAATGGGCGGGCTTTCCCGCTTTCCCGCTTTTCCTTCCTGTTTTCCCACTTAATTGACTCGCACTCGCCCAATTAGAACTCGTAAGCGGGCACGCTTTGCCCATTTGAATTTATATTGAAAATTAATTTAATTAATAGAGCGACTGGAACGGGAAAGCAAGGAGGCAGTGGGCGTGGAAGTGGAGTCACCTACCAGGTGTTGTGTCCATTCCCAGTTTCCCTGGGCTATCGCGGCGGGAAGTGTCAAACAGTCAACTCAATAACTGTTTATTTCGGCTGGCACATTGCCAATTTTGGCCTGGCTGAGTCAGTTGCTAATCGTTTCTCCTTATTTTTTGTTGGCCAACTGGAGCACTCGTATATTGTGGCTGCGAGATTGGCAACTTTTTTCTGCAGGGCCATGCATTTGCATTTTCTATCTCAATTGGCGGTTTGCATTTCATTAGCCTGAGCAGTTTCGTTAAGCCTGCCAATTTATGGCAATAAAGGTGTTAAGAGCTCTGGTAGATCTATTTGAATAGTATTTTAATGGTTTTGCTATGGGACCTCCCATAGGTTCCATTACTTCAGCAACTAATAAACATTTTTCTAGCCATTCTATATATATAAGCGGATTCAATATATAGATAGATAATTGTTAGTAACAGATCATTTTAATTGCCACGCAAATTCCGGGCATAAATCAGACCATTTGAAAAGCAGTTTCCGCCCCTTCACTTTACATGACGGCCTTCTGGACTCCTCGCAAGATCACTGCCCACCTGATGTCGAAGTGATCGATGTCCTGGACAGCCGTTGCCATCCATAACGAGGCAAACTCCCAGGCCAAAGACGCCTCCGCACTGCCAATCCCATTTTCCGTTTTCCATCCGCCCATTTGCTACCGTTTAGCCAGATTGATTTCGGGCCAGAAGCCGCACGACTCCGCCGATCATTCCGCCCACTTTTCGCAGGGGGCGGAGGGCCGTCACGCCCACCGCTGCAGTTTTCCCATCGCCCAATAGCCCAATCGCCCATGCCGGGCCCATCAATCAACTTCGAGTGCTCGCAGTGAGCGGGAGGCTCCTACCACTCCACTTGCTCCTACCTGCCTCCGAATCTGCGCGTCTCCGAATCCGCGAGGTTGCGCCTGGGAGCGCTTTTGGTTGTAAAAATCGTTTCGGCATCATTTTTCATATCCGCAGCCGAAACAAAACCGCCAAAAAAGAAGCAAAACCACCAGAAAACAATATCCAGTCGGCGGCTGGGAAATCGAGTAGCATCCTAACTGCAGGAGCTTCATGCGGCTTGGGAAAAATAGTGGTACATACGCTTCCAATACCCTAAGGTTGCTTCTTGAATCATTATTACGATGATGGGAAGTCGTAAAAATGTACCAAAGTTGCCTTAAATCTCACTCATTTGTTGCTTACTTTATTACGACCATCATATTATATGATGCTAAAGCATCGTACAGTAATACGCTATTCCAGGGTATGCGAGTGTGGATAGCTGGGTATGGGTTAAGTTTCGGTGGCCAGGGGTGCGTATACGTGATCGCTACCTTCCTTGGACTTTTGCTACGCTTTGTTTGCGCTGCTATGGACAGCCCTGCCCCGTCCCTCCTGCCCACACTTTTGAGCCTTGTTTGCTCTTGGCCGTGGCGAGCGAAAGAGACAGCTGCAGCGAGACAGAAAGAGGCAGCACGAGAGAGACGGTTTCGATGTAGCGCGAATTTGTTGCAATTTTTCATTGTCAGCGAACGCGTTCGCCGGTAAATTTTGATTAAACGCTCCGCGGGAATTCACTTTGGCTGCACTTTTTGTTTTTGTTTTTTATTTTTCCTGCCGATTGGAGGTGGCATCTCCCATCTCCCATCCACAATCCCAAATCCCAGTTGGTGGCCAACTCTTTCATTTGAATTTGATAAATGACGCTCGTTGCAAAGCGATATGTTATGCAATTTAGGGGTTTCTCTCTGACTTAAAAAATATTGAAGCGATAGCTAAATGTGTGTACAACTCGAAAATAAATGAACCGGCTGACAAAGAGAAAGGGAAGTGATGAGACTTTAACTAGGCTTTCGGAAATCAATTTGATGGAATGAAAAGGCGCTATTCCAGTAACTTCCCACTTTGGTAACTTATCTCGAACCTGTGTGCGCAAGATTTAATCGATTTCGATCCACCACAATACCCTATAATAAACGGGCTTAAAAGGGAGCAGGTATAATATAAAAATTACAAATTACTGAGCTTCAACTGGAGGCGAGACAGCAAACAAGGCCAAATTGATCCCTGGCCGACAAGCGGTAATAATAATTTCGTGCCAATTAATCAGCGTTAAATCAGAGCGTCAACAGCCCCACCTGCTCCACAATCTCCCCGTCGTTTCACTTGAAGATTTCCGGTTTTTTACACATATGCCGCCAAAGAGAATCGAATAATTGGCATTCGCATTCTGCGTAAGCGTCAGTCGATTGTGAGTGAGGTCACACTGACCGAAAATGCAGTTAGCTTCTGATTGTAGCTAGGCCTGGCCACTCTAATCCTTTTTCTGGCCAACTTCAACGGAGGAAGACACGTGCGTTTCCTAAACTTTCTTTTGGTACTAATTTCTTACGGGTAAGTTGGCCAAAAGAAAATGTAAAGCGTGGACTCACATCTTGCCATATAGGAATGAAATCACAAACCCAGAAAAAGAATGCCCCCAAGGCCAAATCGAAGGCCCCCGAGCCGTCGAAGAAAGCCCAAGCTAAGGTGGCCCCTGTAGAAGTCGCCACTGCTTCTGCGGCTCCGCCGCCTTTGTCCTCGAAGAAGGTGGCCAAAGCTCCGGCCGTGGCTCTGAAGAACCTCGAGTTGGCCATGAAGGAATCGGCTAAGAAGGCCAGCGAAATGGCAGAGCAGAAGTTTGCCGCAAAGCCGAAGAAAGCCCAGAATGCTCCGCGCAAGAACGTGAACCCAGTGCCGGACCCAGTAGCTCCTGCTGTAGTCCAGAAAAAGAGATCGGCGCCTCCTACACGTGGCAAGCCCACGGGTGCTGCCCCCAAAAGGGCTGCCCTAGTCCAAGAAACGCCCAAGGAACAAGCTCCCACGGCACCTAAAGCCGAAGCAATTGAAGCAACGGCCACTAAAAGTGTCGACAAGAGCATTGCTGCCCCGGTAAACCAGAAGCCCAAGCCGAAACGCGCCAAGAATGTGCTGCGTGGCAAGAGGATGTCCAAGAAGAAAATCTGGCAGCGCTTTGTGATTGACTGCGCATGCGTGGCCGAGGACTTGATTCTGGATATTGCCGACTTCGAAAAGTATTTGCGCACCCACATCAAGATAAAGAACAAGGTCAACCAGCTGAAGGACCAGGTCACTTTCGAGCGGGTCAAGAACTCCTCGCTGGTCATCCACTCCGCGGTGCACTTCTCCAAGCGCTACTTCAAGTACCTGGCCAAGCGGTACCTGAAGAAGCACAGCCTGCGCGATTGGGTGCGAGTGGTGTCCACGGCCAAGGACACCTTCGCCATGAGCTACTTCAAGATCCAGGCCGATGACGACGACGACGTCGAGGCCAACGAGGGTGAAACCTTCGTCTAGCGCAACGATCACATTTCGAACACATAACCATGTATTACTCTTGAAAGATGTTCAAGCTTCTTAAATTTTTCAGTATACTTCTGTTAAGTCACTTGAATTTCAATAGTTCTCCATGCTTTTCATACCACTTTCGCAAATGTATTTTAAACATGTTGCACCATGAAATACCAATAAAAAACCCATCCCATCTGAAGCTCCACAGTTCCCTTGAAGAACTCAAACATTTTATTTTAGGCCATAAGGAGCACTCCTCCGGCGAGCCGACTTAACCTGGCCGATTGACATCTCGCAAAGGGGCAGGGGCCTCGAGTGGCATTCGTCATGTTTTGATTGGGAGGAGCCAGTCTTGTTTTCTTTACCTTTTACGCTTTTGTAAATGCCTTAAATTGCCCCATTGGATGGGATTGTGTTCGATGCCAGGCGGCTTAATTGCTTCGCTGTGGGTCTGCCAATTGGCCGAAACCATGGGTGGGGTTGGGGTTGGGGATGGGGACTGTCAGCAGTTGGCCTGGCCGTAGGTGGTCCATAACGAGCTAATGAAATGCGAATCCAGCCGAAATGCGAACAGCCGAGTGAGTCAGGCAGCTGTCAAAATCGAAATCAACCTGAGCACTTGCAGGTTCGCTTCCTTTCGACTGGGCCTAAAGAACACAAAGACTTGGGCAAAATATTCACGACTGCCGGGGAGGGAATACAAAGCGAAAATAAACATAAACGTCATGCAAATCGTATGGTAATTGCTGTCATCGCCGAGTCTTGTCAAAACGGGTTGAAGTGTTTTGTAAATGCCAGAAAAAATTAAATTCCAGACATGCAGACGAGTACCAATAATAATAATAATGTAATAAGGGGCTTGCGATGGGGAAGTCAAGAGCGATCCACACGCGATTATTATTTTGTCAAATGTGAAAACACGATACGGGCCAAAACGGAAAGAACAGCCTCTGCTCTGACAAAAGCCAAGTTGTAATTGGTAATTGGAAAAAACCTGACAGCCAATGGTGATTTAAGTTAATTGAACTAACACCCGTAGCTGATAGATGATGGCCTTTTTTGTCAAGCCCAACATAGCCACATAAAAAACACTTTAGCACGTGTTAATTAGCGTTGACGCTTTTTTATTTAATTAATAGTGCAGACTTTTATGATGTGTTTGCTGCCTTAAAGAGCTCCCTTTTGTCGAATGCATAGTATTGGAATGCATAGTGAACGCAAATAGCTGGCTTTAATATCGAGCACCTGTCAGGGCCTTATTAATTTGAAAGCAAATCCCTTTTGACGTGCAATGTAAACCCTGTTCTCAGTGGCAATCAAGTTGGCTTTTAATTGTGCGTCAAACATCCAGATCCAGAATCTCGTTGCACTGCAATCCAATCGCTCTGCAGCAGGTAGGTTGATCCCTGTTCCTGCTTAGGCTAATTAACACATCGATTACATCGTGGCGCGGACAGTGCAGCTTAAATGAATGGGCTCGTTAGGGCATCTACCATGAGCAGGCCTTCTGGTCTTGACTGCGCCAACTGGTTGGGTCTATTTTTAGGGCCAGCTCCCCCGAGGAGCAGCAGGTGCAGCTGTGGCGATGGGTTTCTTGGCCAATGCCAACCAGTTGGCGAAATCTGAGGATCTGAAGATCGCCACCAAGTGTAGGTGACGGACGGCCTCGGGCTGCCAATATCGCTTACTGCCAGACAATGGATAGCCACGCTTCTGGCCACACAGGCGTGGACAATTTGTTGGCCTTAATCCACTTGGGCACATATTCTTGTAGATCTTAGTAGCTAGCCCTCCAAGCCGAGGTATAACTAACATATTTGGCTCTTCAGCTTTGGGGAATCTTTGCAGCTCATTCAACTGACACTTTTCCGCTCGAACGCTTTCGGGTGTCCATTTCAGGATGTTGGCAGGCGAAAGGTGATTGGTGATTGGAATTATGTATTGTATGGTTTATTAGCTATTTATTCCCACAGCTCTCGAATCGAAGGCAGCATGGTGGGCCTAATGTGTGCCCACGGCGTGATACTGGCCAGCAACTCGTTGGACTACGAAATATACCTGCTGGATGACCGCATTTAGTAAGACATTCGGTTGAAATGAACCAAAAATGATATTCCATATTTTCGTATACTTTACAGCTGCTGCGCCCCGCGTTCCGGCATCGATCGGAGTATAGTGTTGGAAGTGAGTGCCCAGGTGGAGTACCTAGCCAGAGATCGCGGCCAGAAGCTGAGTGTGTCCCAGGTGAAGGACTTGTTGTGCGTAAGGTACGAGGACGAGGAGGTCGATGACCCGGATGTCCTGCTAGTGGGCCAGGACGACAAGGGCCTCCACCTATACAGTCTACAAAAGCGTGGATTGTCCTACAGGGTGATATTTGCCGCCAAGGGCAGAGACTCGGAGGACATTGTGTCCTTTTTGACGCAGAACTGGACGGAGTCCATGAACCTCAACGAGGCCGAACAGCTAGCTAGAAAATCGCTCAAGTGGGCGCCCTCGGAAATGTGCACCATCTATAGGGACAGAGAAATGGAGGATCAGGATGGAATCCTGGACGAGGGTGACGACATGTCCGCCCAATCGCCGGACAGCAGTTTCTAGATCCAGCCACTTCACCCATGTAGTAGCTAATCGTATCACTTTGATTCACTTTGATATAAATGAATGGCGCCTCCCCTGTAATTAGCCGCATTTCTCAGCGTTTTGCAAGTGGGCCTGGAATAGATTAGCCGCTTCTCCCGCTGGAAATGGTGCTGCGCCAGCACAAGTGATTTATACTCCTCCAACCTGGCCCTTGGATAATTAATAATGATTAAAAGCTGGCGCCCATCAGCGGCCAGCCAGCTCTGAGTCCTTGTACGCGCCATGGGTAGGAATATATAGCTCTATATAGATCCCCACTAACCAGATCCGCTCGCCTGCCTCTGGGGAAACCGACTAGGTGAACTGACGTCCAGCTGTGCGGATTAACTTGAATTTATATGTTATGGCTGCATTTGAATAATTTCATATTCGAGCTGGCAATCGGGATCTCTATCTTCCACGCCACGCCCCCTTCCTTTCAGTCCATCTCCGCTGTGCGTGACCAGGCTTCATTTTCTCCTGCTCCTGCTCCTGCGTCCAGTTGTGTGGTCTCCCTCCATTGACAGCTCTTGGGTGGCATTATGCTGTCTGCCCCGGATTTTCACTTTTATGGCCCGCAAACCGACAGTTGCTAATTGATTTCCACGTAGATTGGACTGCTAGTTAATCGGCTGCTCGTCGGGTTAAGCGGAGCTCAAGGCGATATGATTTTGGAGCTGTGATGTGTGATACTAAACGGAAATTAGCTTGTTCTTTCAGATTAGTAACCTTCGTTACTCAGTTCCAGTTAGCTACCTCAAAACTCAGCCTGCTGAAGTCACATCTGCTGCACAATTTCACTAATGACATTTTTGTGGCACATACAAACTGGAGCCCCTCTTTCGGTTGATAAGCAAATATTTCGCCAACACTTCAATATCTTTCCAGCCTTTATTTATTTAATTTTGGGTTGTGCTCTTGCCCGAATTCGAAAGTGTCTGGCGAAAATAAAATGTCAATGGCCGGGCGATAAGAAACGAGAGGCACAAGGCGAAAAATCAAACATCAAATATTCCCAATAAATTAAATGCGGCCAGTTCCGAGAAGGACCCATCCTCACTTTTTTTCCTGTGGCATTCAATAATAATTCACTTTCGATGCGGCCAAAAGTTGCATGGAAGCTGGCCCTGGGGATTCGGGGCACCTCTGAATGCGCAATCGAATGGTGCTACCTTGTGATATCTTTATTTACCTCACTCCAAAAAAAAGGTTAAAAAACAGAGGTGCAGAAAATGCAGACAGTGTCACCTTTCGGCGACTCCAAGTGGAAATATATTTATGTGGCATGCGAGTTGCAAGGTGTGACAACATGGAAATTTATCTGCACCATCTCTGCAGCACCTTTATCTCCTGACCCCCGCCTCCAACACATCCGCCATCCGCCTCCCGAACTCCAGGGCTACCAACAGTGGATTTATATGGGATCCGAGTCGGGATTGCCATCTTAATGCGACATTAAGTCGGCGGATTCTGGGTGTTTGGCCGGCGCAAATATGAGGTGCATTATGTACACAGAAGAGATTATCTATGGGTACACATGTTGCACATCTATCCCATAAGTAAGTGCTACAGAGGTACTGAACCGGAAGAGAAATGGAATAAGCCATTTGGGTGCTCCAATTGGGGATGAATGCACAAGTAAGACAACTAAAACATATTAAGTTACCATGCTGATTATAAACAAAACAAGATAAAATGCTATAGTCGAATTCCCCGACTATCAGATACCCGTTACTCAGCTAGTGGAAGTACGAACGAGAAATTTAAACATTTTCTGGAATATTGTTCGAAATTGGGGAAGCAATTATTAAATCATATTGAATTTCTACATCTCACAACGAAAAAATTTAAAAAAATAAATTTCTAATTTATAATGCAGATTTTTAGAGAATTGCGCCAGAAACATTTAGAGGTATGCCACTTCAAAATCTGATTAAGATAAGTTGAGTTATGGAGTTTAGAACTTCAGCTTTGGGAGATTTTTTTAGTTTTTGAATTTCTACAACAAAATACAAAAAAAAAAAAATAAAAAAAAAAATGTTTAAAAATAACGTCCGGTTCGCTTTCTTCAACGAATCAAGTATACTCTTTTACACTGCGAGTAACGGGTATAAAAAGTTCCAATCAAGTCATTTAATTATTTTCGCTGAAGGGCATAAAAACTACTTTGCAAGTTCAACTTTTTTCCAACACTTTCTTGTCAACTGCCTCTGCGTAATTGTGCTTTTTCAGCGCTGCTGTTGCATTGGCAACTTTAACGAAATCGGACATGCAACATAAAGTAATTTATTTTTAATTAATTTATAAATGCAGCCACATCAAAAATGGCCACCGATACAAACAGGAGGCGAGGCTAGAGGATCGCGAATTAAGCCCCGAGTCGTAAATAATTTTTATATCTCGCATTCCTTTATAGATTTTCATTTTTTGCGCGTTTAATTTCAGCTTTATTTTGTTCTTTTTATTTGCGCCTCTGCCGCATGCAACAAGCGGCACGAAGTGAGTGTCGCTGACAGCACGTCATCAGCACTTTGGGCGCAGGGGCAGTGGGGGCCGATTGGCCACGCCCAGTTATATCGGTGGGCGTGGACGATGGCAGCAATTTCATTAAAATTTACTGCACACTGCAGCGGCGAAAAAATTGTTGCGGTCAATTAACGTCAGCAACGCGTTGCCATCGCTGCGGCGGCATAAGCCCCGCTCCCCCCCTTATAGATGCCCCACGCTTTTCCGCCCTTTTCCCGGAGCGTAGTTTCCCCCACACCCCCCTGTGCTCATTAACGGCCGCCGTCCACATGCCATTTTATTCGCATTTCGCATCTGCATGCGCATACGCGACTTTTTGTTTATTATTGCTGGCGTGAATAAATAAATAAGTTCCATTGACATATGCTCAAATAAATAATAGAGCGCGCTTAAATTATAGCCGCCGCCTGGATGGCCAGGATGCTCCTTCCAGTGGCAGGAGCCAAGGAGCACCGGAGAGCCGGAGGAATCTGTGAGTTATGATCCTGGCGGCGAGACCGCAAGTCCCGCAGAGCCCCATAACAATGAGCGGTGGAGCACGGAGTCATCGAGTGGATGACGATCACTTTTAAGTTCGCAGGAAATGACAATGGAACAGACTGGCGCGAACCGAGTGAATAATTGGGCAACATTACATTAAAAGATAAGGTTATGCGGAGCTTGAAACACAAGTACCATTCAAGGGCATTCCATGAAATGCTGATACAACTTTCTCCGAACCCAACGAACTGCACTTGGCCTAGAGAAGCCGAAGCCCGGCCACTTAATTGATAAACTTTGCCACTGAACTAATTTGATTTTTACGCAGACTCAATCAGAGCCGCGGAGCAGAACAAGTGAAAAGAATTTAATTAAGCTGCAGAAGCCAGCCAAAATGTTTCACAAAATCGAATCGTTTGGTTGGGGGGGTGGCAGAGGGGGATACCACGCGATGCGTGTGTCGGAGCCCCCGGGAAGTTGACCCCAAAAGGGTCTCCGTCGAGGAGCTTATTAAGCCTGTTTGTCAGGGGGCGTGGCACAATAACACAGAGCCTCTGCTCGAGAGGAAATTGCAGCTGACTCGGCGGACAGCCGAACCGCAAATTAGTTTCGCTGTGGAGCAACTGGGATTCTCCTCGGGATCTGGCTACCAATGTCAGCCGAGTCCGAGCCTGAATAAATATGAAAATATTGTGCGAGTAACCAGTTACCAGCAACCATGAAGCAGCATCCAGAGCCCGGGGCGTCTTTCCTGGAAACGAAAGAGCAACCGGAATAACAATAACAACAATCACCCCCATGACAGGCTGTTCTGGAAAAGGGACCGGCTCACTGAGAAAAAATGCTAGTCAGAGCTGGCATTTGGATTATGCAACCAAAGCTGTTTGCCCACAAAACTCAATGGCTTCTGTTTACTATAACTTTTTCGGATCAGGCGGAGTCGGGCACTCTTTTCTCCCAGTGCAAGGGTCCACAGCCAGCTTCCCTTCCCCTGCGGACTCACTCCAGAAAATTGACGCGAGCCGCGCTCCAAAATCGCTCCAAACGTTGTCATCGTTGTCGGGTTGTTGGTCGGTTGTTGCATCTGCATCTGCATCTCGGCATCGCGCGTCCTCCATATGGGCGCACTTGGAGATGCCGGAGATGAGATAAGCTTCCATACTCTACACTCCACACTCCTGCCCGCTGCTTTCTGTTCATAAATTATAATTTTATGATCACGAACATATTCGTGGAACACTCGTTGTTTGGCTCATTGTCGCCAGCTCCCAGGGGCGTTAAATATTAAAGTGTCTGGAGCTCTGGAGGACTGGTGGAGTGGAGACCCTGGATTGGCACTGGAAATTGGCTCTGTTCTGTGGCCTTTGGTCCGTGGAGAGTGTCATCGTTTGTGTTTACACTAATTGAAGAACTCCTCGGCTGGGCCCTTCAATGTCACGGATGCTCCCAGTTTTCTCCCTTTTTCGCTGGATCGTTAACTTGCTTTATGGCCCCCGCTCGGTTTCTAGCCTGAAATTAGTTTGTTTTAGCTTAGCCGCCTTTGGAACGGGGCGGTGGTAATGATAAGTTGTCTTCCACGGTTTTATTGAAGGTCGTAAATCAATTAACCGGCCCTTTCTGGCACTCTTGCTATTCGGGCGACAGCTGAAAACTCGCAGATACTGGCTTCAATTACCCTGCGGAGTGCCAAAAGTTGGAGTTAGAGTTACGAGACCAATTGGCTTGCCACATTCCACAGATACAGTCTCGAAATATTTTTGAAATCACCATACAGCGTGTCTAAAAGTATGCAACAGTTTGAAATGCGACTAAATGCACTCGCCTTTTTTATAATTTTTTAATTGGGCATTCCAATGGTATTCCGTGGTATTGCTCCCCATTGTTGGCCATGAATTAAACTTTTAAATCACTTTTCGCACATCGCCCGGATGCGAAAATATTTGCATACACGACATGGGGCAACATAACAAACTGGCTGTTTGCTTTTAATTGGTTTCCATTTCGGTGCTGTCCGTTTATTTACTATTTGCATTCCCCGCCCATTTTTTTAA